GAAAATTGTTTACTTTGATTATATTTCGAAGATTATATTGACTGCGGTTTTGCTTTAAGAATATAATAGTATTCATTAATTTATAGGATTTGTTAGCACTTGTATTAACTGCAGAAGCGGTAAAAATGACGATAAAAAATATGGTAAAGAATAATATATCGCAATAAACCCATAATAATCTCAATATAATGTTCATCGGTATAAACAACGCTATATAGAGAGCAATGATTGCGATTAACCCAAAATTAAACCAAAAAGTGAGCATAAATTTCGACCAAAAAGTTGTATTGTATTCAAGAATCTCAGAATATAACGAATAAAATAGATCAACAGTTTTGTGCAAATTTATTACTTTGTTTTGATCATTATATGCCATAAATAGCTCTCTATTTAATGCTTTAATTTTAATTTTTAGATAATAACAAATCAAATAGAAATATAAAAATTGATAAACAATTATATTGAATGAATAATAACAGAATAACACGAATTGAATTGTGTTTAAAATGCCATACAATGCAAAATCAGTTAATGAATAGTTGATAAATAGTGGGGATCCGATCATAACCACGATTACTATGGGTATTGCTTTGTCCGTTATTTGCCTCACAATTGCAAACATTATTCTCGTTCGTCTCAATAATGATATAATTTCTGTTGGATTTGTGAGACCAACAGATTTGGGTGAAACCAAACCCGACATCATTTGAAACACACCGAGAAATGTGGGTTTTATACCATTCCTGTAGTTATAGTAATAAATCAATTGCGAAGTCAATACAAATGCTATGAATACGAAGTAACCGCAATTGAAATACAGTCTCATTCCGTAATAATGTGCGAAATCACCCAAAATGATAATTACACGTAAATTGGTGTCAGGCGTACAAATACTGACTACATTTTTAACGAGACTTATTATGATAACAATAAATACATGAATTGGTTTACAAAGTATACGTTTAATTGCATTTGAATTGTCTCTTTGATAACTTGTGTGACACAAACCGATTCGGTATAAATGATTGTCCACTAAATCAATAACTAGATTTTCGGGTAGTTTTCTCTCCGTTTTAAACGAATCCATTTTTTTATATTATGTTTATTAGTATTAATTTCTTACACAAAATTTTAGTTGATTTTGAATACTAATTAAATTATTTGTCCACAAATATAATATAATTTAACATTAGAAACATAATGTTATAATTAGATGTAATAAACCTTGAAGAATAAGTAAAATAATATACAAAATAATTTACTCTAACATTGAAATTAAAAATTGTCATTAATTAACCATTAAATACATAATATTCTGATATAATATTAGAAGTGTGTCAGAATACGTATTCTGTACTTTACATCTGTACGCATACTAATTACCTAATGTAAAGAACATTTACTTTTTATCTCCACTTTGTACAAATAAGTTACAGTATTTTCTAAAATTATATTAATATTCATGCAATATATATCATTATTTATTTAATTAGGAATTAAATTATTTTAAAATAAAATTTATTATTAATTTATCAATTTCCTAAAGAATAATACATTTTAAAACAGAAGTGGAAATATAAGATCAAAGAATATAATGTTTCACTGTATAAGTCAATTAATTTAAATGATAGGAAATACTCATAAGATATTAGTAATTAAATAATAATTTTTAATTAAATATTAAATAAAATTTACAAATTCTAAAAAATTTAGTATAGTACATTTGAAAACAGAACTAGGAAAGAGATGATCAAAGTTAAGTGCACGTGTTCTGCTTGTTTTAAACTCGTAGAATTGAACTGATCTTAATTTTGGACATTTTTGCAAAAGTCTGATGAAATCATGTCTTTTAAAGCAATCGATTCTATCAAATGAATCGATAGACAGTTCTCGCAGTGACGACAGTCTTGAGACACATGACAACCATTTATTGTCAACAATTGGTCTGCACTTTATGTCCAATACTTGAAGTTTTGGTTGTGTGGACACAATCTCTTCAAAAAACTCTTTATAAAAGTTAGACAACGAGAGCTTTAAGTGTGTGAGTCGTGGCCAACGATTCAATGGATTTAATTGTGTCCAATCGGTTGCATTCATTGCTCTAGAATTGCCATCAACTTTAAGTGTTAAAGTTAAACGTTTCAAACGCGGCATAAATTGGATTGAATTTATTATCTCTATATTCAATGCCATGTCTTCCGATTTAACATGTATTGCAAACTCTTTAAGTTTTGTACACTTTATGCCAATTCTCCTCAGATTATCGTATATTGAATATTGAAGAACAATATATGAATGAAAAATTATTGATAATTTCTTCAATTCTTGGAATTCCGATAATTGTGTTAAGAATTTTGTGATCCTTTTCTTTGAGTTCATCTGCAATACAAACACATGAATTGTTTGAAGACGAGTCCTATAGTAAGCGATGAATTGCACAAAACTTTCTGTATTAAAGTCTTCAGTGAAAGGAATAGAAATTTCCTTCAAATGATTGAATGATAACAAGTGATTGTCTTCTGTGGCAAACATCACATCAAAATTAAAAAGAATAAAAAGACATAACAATTTGGGAAAATATTGTTCGTATGGGAACTGATCTGAGGTGAAGATTGCAATATAAGTAACCATTGGACCAAATGGTGACAAAATGTCATAACATTGTGGATTATCAGAGAAAAAATCAGAATCAAACCAAATACTTTGAATGTTTGGACATTTGTTTGCAATAAATTGAATAACTCTTTGACACAACACTTCGTCCGATAGATCCACTTCTTTAGCTTTCATTCTGTCCATCAGTTCGTCGTCGATATAAATCTCACTAATTGTTTGATAAATACATCTCTGAAACTGTTTTGAGACGCATTGGTGTCGACATCTCATCTCAATTGTGTCGACCTCTTCATCGAAGGAATGATAGGACAGCAAGAGTTGCATCAAATCATCGCCGAAACGATCAAATGAGTCTTTGGCGTACATTTGAGTCTATATTTAACGGATAATGCATTGAAATTGATTTAAATGCATATCTTATTGATTACCTCTTCATCACAATTGGTGTGATTGCTGTCAATCTGTGGCAATAAATAGCAAAACCAATCGCCCAATTGTGTCATCACTTTATGTCCAGAATGTGTAAATCGTTACTACAAGTGCCGTACTTTGAAATTGTAATACCGTTTGAACTAATTTTAAATGTGAAAACACGTCAAGTATTGTTAACTTAAGAAACCATTTGCTTAAACCTCGCGTTAAATCATTTGTTGCATAAATGGTTATTAAAATTCTAATTGTTGTAATAAATTGCTAATACAATACAATACTAGTAATACAATACATATAAATTTATTACGAATTTAATGAATATGAAAATTTGTGAATGTTTTAATGATTTAAAATTTAATGATTTTTAAATACAATAATTATTGTACAAAAACAACATTTATTTTAATCTGTATTTAATGGTAATTTTATTTACTCTTAGAAAAAATGGTTTTATAACAATTATTATAAATGATTAATAATTAGAAAAATAATTTAAATTTTATTACAATTACATGATTGAAAACAAAAACAAATACTTTTATGACTTGACATTTAAATTAGGAATTTCTCGTCAAATGATAGAAAATAAAACTAAAAATACTTATTGAATGATATTTATAATCTCAGTTCACTATAAAAAAAACTCACAATCCTTTGGATTTACTCTTATGTTTAGACCAAAAGTCTATATTTTTCGTTCCTTTCCGTATATACTGTGGAGAAAATACAGTCAAAAGTATATAATTAATAAATGATTGCAATTAAAACACATGATAAGTATCGACACAAACCTGTTGTGTTGCGAGGAATTCACCGACAACTTTGTGGTTATCGGCCAACCATTTAATATTGTTATCGATTGTCTCCAACGCTCTCCTCCTCTCGTTTTCTGTGACCCCAACCGTCGGATGTAAAGCGAAAAAGTCTTTCACCTATACATGGGTTTCAATTACATGTGTTTTAGTTTCAATCAAATAGACAGCAATTCATTTACCTCTTTCTTTCTCGTCTCGTCATTGAAATAATTACAAATATTATTGACAACAGTTCCCAATTGATTCACAGATAAATGGCCCCCATTTAACAGCTTCTCGTAATTGTTTCGATAGTAATCCCAAATCACAGGCAAACCGTCCGGATTTGAGATAATATAATTCAAAACAGACAAATAGTCCTGTTTTCGCACTTTTGTTACGTCTAATGAAAGGTCTAGTAATCTATTGACAAGAAAATAAAGTTATGATATATTGTTTGAATTGTGTTTTAAAAAGTAAAAAACAATTCAATACTTATTAATGAGATCTGTGTTTGAAGTGAACGAAAGTGCGTTAAGATATGTGAGTTTTAATACAGTTGAGGTCTCTTTCAAATACACGTCCCATAGATTGTCCCAATCGGTGGTCAAACCAATCTGTTTGATGGCGTACTTCAGGACAGTTGACATAATATTTGGTTTGTAATTCACTGTAGGGTTAGCCCGCCATTCATAATACTTTTGCTGGACATCTGTGAGACATGGCTTATAATTGTTAGCGCAGACAAAGTCCACAATATTTGAACGCAAACGTTTTACTACATCTGTTTCATCGGTCGTCTCATCCCATTTCAACGCCTCGTATCTCTCTTTCGCCAATTCATTTAAATACTGATCAAAGCCTTCCTTGTGTTCCGTCGACGACAGGGATCTCCTGATGGGAGCGAACAAACTGATGGCCACTGACCACGGAGTCAGGTGTGTCTCACGCTTCAGATACTTAGCCAACTCTAATGGCGTTACGTATGAGAGGAGACCAGCTCTGGAGAGGTAGAAGGAGTCGGTGATGAAGTTTGTGCGGTCACTAACTGTTAGTTGAGTTAATATGTCGTTATCGTTGTTGACCAGAGCTCGCGTCCATTTACTCCAATCCTCTTCGGGATAATTCACAAAATAAAAGCCGTCGCTATTTGTGTTGATTTTCAAGAGTCCATTAGTGGTGGTGTCGACTGTTGTATCGATTGTCGCCGTTTTTGTTTTGATGAATTCAGTGGTCGTTGCCTTTGGTGCCATTGATTTATAATATGTCAGAGGAATCGTCCAAATAGTGCTATTAATTCATACATATTTTAATTTTGTTAATTTTAAACAAATTAGTAATAAATTTCAATACTCGGAATCAAGTGTCTGTCCATTCGCTAAAAATCTTTCTTGAATTACAGTAATTTTGTTGTGAGTCGTCGGGTCTCTAGTGATGTTCACGTATGGAAATCCCGCTTTTGTGACCCAAGTGTTCATTAAATCATGGATTGTCACCTTATCCTTCTGTATACACCAATTAATGCATTATAAATACCGTAATTACAAGTCAAACAAACATTTAAACAATACCTGAGAGAATATCTCATTAAGTTTATCGAAGAGATCCTTAGTTTCAACCGTTTTCAACACATTTGCCGATACATAGGCTTTGAGTGCGGACTGGAATTCAGTGCTTCCCATCACAGACTCAAGCATTCGGAGAATTGATGATCCCTTTAAAGTAAGCACAATTGAAATTAGTTGAAATAAATACCACTATGCAATTAATTAATAAATACCTTGTTGTAGACAATAGCACTGGTATAGGATCTCTCTTCCGGTTGGGTAACAGGCCTTACGATTGGGTGAGAAGTGGCCGACGAGTCTGCCGTCAGTGCGGGCAACGTATCGGTCATCAAGAATAAGTCAAACTAGATTTGAAAATTAAATTGGCAAATTTGGTAAATTGGCAAAAGCAATATGATAAAATAATTACATAGTTCCAGGTGGGCTCCACATGATTAACAGCCGTGTACTCCAAATACGAAGCAAACGCCTCGTTGAGCCATAGGTCTGACCACCACTTGCACGTGAATAAGTTGCCGAACCACTGATCAATGCAATTAAAAGCAAACCATTAATTAATATCACAAATTTAACTATAAATGTGTATTACCATGTGCACTGTCTCGTGTGCAATGACAGCAATAACGGCCATCTTATTGGCCGAAGTGGAGTCCTTCTCGTGCCATAACAGACCGGTCTCTCTGAATGTAATCAAACCCCAGTTCTCCATCGCACCGGCGCTGAAGTCTGGTATCGCTATGTAATCTGCTTTTGGCATATGTTGGTTGTATTTGTGGCCAAAATATCCATCATAATAGTTCATCACTTGCGGAGTCACTTCCAACGAATAGCCCACCTTTTGCTGCTCAACACTCGACGCGCAGACCCTAACAGTATAGTCGACGACACCGGGAGCTGCGGGTTGGCACACAAAGTCGCTCACAACCATCGCCAACAAATAGGTCACCATTGATGGAGTCTTCTTATACTTTATGGTTTGAGTTCCGTCATCATTGATGACAAGCGTGCCCTCAATCTCATTGTTAGAAATGGTAAGAGTTTTGTCCTGTTTTGAGATAATAGTCATCTCAAAAGTAGATCTAAACGAGGGCTCATCGAAACAGGGGAACGCCTTACGGGCCGACGTGGCCTGGAATTGAGTGGCCGCCAGTCCTACAGGTTTACCATCTTTATAGTATGTACTCTTATAGAGTCCGTCCATATTCTCGTTGAGTTTGGATTTGAATACAAACTCCAGTATATAATCGTCCGCCGGTTGAATGTCTTTCATCTTGATCACAAACAGCTCGTACCGGGCGTTGCGTGTGGGCGCACCCGACTGTTCCAACTCAACGGCTGTTCCCTTCTTCTTGACAACAGTGGATGTGATGTCGAGAGTGTCGGCCGCGTGAACGATGAAGTATTGGGTCGGATGGCCGGCAGTCACGTCGATACTGGCCGTACCCGTGAATGTACTCTCTTCGACATCAATGTTGAATTCAAGCGCATAATTAGTGGGTATAATCTTCTCGTCGAGTCTGTACGAAGTCCACGGACACGACGCGGAGCGGCACTAATCATATGTTTGTTAACATTTTATGATTTGTGGCATTAAATGAAACAATTATTATATGTTTTCTTACCTCCAAGAAGTTGATCACTCGATCCTTATTTCTAGTCAACCACTGAATGTTAGCGTTAATCGTATCGATGGCCCGATTTTTGTCGTAATTAGCGATACCGAGAGTCTGGTCTTCGGCTAAGAAGTTCTCAACCTTTTGAATTGAAATATAATATTTATTTTAAAGTAATTTAAAGTTTTAATAGTTCTTTGAAACAATACCTCTCGTCTTCGGACAGCAGTTGTAAAATAACTGCAAATACTGTTGAAAATACTTCCCAATTGTATTGTCGACAGTCTTTCCTGATATCGTTTGTGATTATCTTTAAAATAATCCCACAATATCTGCAACGCATCCCAATTGGCGCCCAAATTGTTGATAATAGCCGTTACCTCAGTATTGGTAACTAATTTTGTATCGAGTGATCGATCCAATAGTCTATTCAGAAATCAAAACCAATATTAGTTTAAGTCATAACTTATTTTTGGCAAAGAGGAGACTAACGTTTTGATAAGAATAGGATCTCTGGTATACGACAATGCATTCAAATAGGTTTGTTTAACAGTCGCTGTCTTTTCGTCCACGTATTTGGTCCACAAGTCGTCCCAATCGGATCGGTCTGCGCTCTGTCTCATGGCGTACCTCAACGTCGGTGTCAATAGATTTGGTCTCAATTTTGTTCCCGATTTGAATTTTGCAAACTCTTCGAGAGCTTTCGTCAGACACGGCTCGTGGTATTGACTGCACATAAGCTCAACGATCGTTGACCTTAACCTCTTGTGTGTATCGGTTCCGGTGTCATCCCATCCGAGTTCGTTATACAAGTCTGTGCCTAAGTCTCTGAAAAACTTTTGCAACTCATCTCTGCGTTCAGTCGTTAACATATATTTCTGGATCTGTTTGAAGGACTCGATGGCCACAGTCCACGGGACGTAGTGCTTCTCTTTGACCAAATACTGGGCCAACTGTAGGGGACGTATGATTGACCCGATGTTTGCTTTGGCCAAGAAGTGGGCGTCGATGAAGAGGTTTGCCCTATCGCTGGGCGTTAACGCTGTCAATACATTGGCTTTGTCGGTGATCAGAGCGTCAGTCCATTTGTCCCACTCTTCTTCGGGATAATTAATTAAATACATTCCTCTGCCGTCGGTATTGAATTTGATGAGTCCCTCAGCGCTAGCGTCCAAAGTAATGGTTACCTCTTGAGTGACATCTTTTACGAATACAATTGTTGTCTTCTTTGTGTCAAATCTCTCATAATATGAGAGAGGAACTATCCATTTGGTCCTTCAATTTATATTTTGTTTGAATTTAGGTTAAAAATAGACAATAGTTTAGATATTTATTCATATAAATAGATTAAAGCTCTTACTTTTTTTCATCTAATTTACCATTTGACAAATATCTACTCTGAACTATAGTGTATTTATTAGGCGTATCTGATTTGGTTACAGTAATGTATGGATAACCCGATTCTTCAGTCCATGCGTTCATTAGGTCGTAAATATTTGGATCACCAGGGTCATTCTATTTATAAAATTATAAATTTAAAATTACATCAATGTAATGGTTTTATATAATGATATTTATAATAATGATTACATATTGGTACGAGTCCTTCAGCGCAGTTAACAGATCCTGAGTGACAACAGTTTTGTATTGATTTGTAGTCAAATAATTACGAATTCCTGTTTGAAAGTTGTTCTCGTTTTTCAGATTTATGACAAATTCAAGCATTCGTATGACAGTCGCGCCCTTCACAGCGAGTTATCGAGAATAGGATTAATCAAAATTTACAATTATTTTTAATGTAATTTTTTTAGTAAACTTTTAATCCAATAGGACTTACCTTCGAGTAGACAATAGAGCTCGAGTATCGTTGAACGTCTTGAGGCGATTCCACAGTTTTTCGCACTAATGGGTGCGATGTCTCCACTGAATCGGCGTTTAAAGCTGTCATATAATCGGTTGTCATAAATATGTCCGCCTATTATATGGAGTTTTAAAAGCAATTAAAACATAAATATACAGATATAGTGTTAAATCAATTATAAGATTTATTGTTATTGTACTCACATATTGCCAATCGGGTTGACTGTTGGCGACGGCCTTGTGTTCAAAAAAGGTGGCGAAACCCTCGTTGAGCCAAAAGTCTGACCACCAGTGACAGGTCACTACATTCCCGAACCACTAAATATCAATATAATAGTATCATTATTTGTAATTCATTTGTATATTTTGTATTTTTCATACAAAGTGTGCCAACTCGTGAGCAATGATGGCCAACACTGACATCTTGTTGGCGGACGTGTTTTCCTGGTCCTGCCATACGAGTCGTGACTCTTTGAACGTAACTAAACCCCAGTTCTCCATCGCT